GGGGGGGGGAGGGGTCATTCTTTTCAAAATCACAAAAATAGATTAACATTTATTACTGGACATTTCATTCTACTACGAGGATCATTTCATAATGTACCGATATTTATTCTACTAAATATCAAAGTATCATATACTGACCGAACTCAAACAGAATAAATATTTTACAATTAACAGTTATAATTTCCAGTTGGTGATTTGGTCAATCAAAGAAAGTATACTGTTAATCTGTAACTGATCAAGAAACTCAAAACAACCCTAAATGTTAGGCATACATGTTATAAAATACTCTTCATTTTGTATAAACCAATTGAATGCTTATAGTCAAGTGAATGGACCCATCCATTATTTTATAAAATTAGGAATCTAAATTCGTACAACTCCTGAAAAGTTGACCATTGAAATGTCATCAAACTTTGTATGAAGCATTTTCAAACCCTTTTGATGTCAAAGTTTACCTTTGCTATACCATACTTTCTCCTGTCGTTCCAATTATGTGTCATTGTTTAATTTGAACAGAATGTAAAGAATCTACTAAATTTGTTGATGCATTCATAAAGTCGTTGCCAATCCAAACAGAATTTTGGGTAAGATGTGGGAGATTATCATGAGTCAGTTATCATGTAGGTTACTTTGGGATAGGGAAATCATACCCGCGGGAGTAGAATTTCTCTATCCCACAAACCTAAATAGGATACGCTCTCTCAATAATGTTAATGTGCATCAGTGCATTCTGTTACTGATGATAAACCCATTTACAGATAATTTTATGTAATATTTTTGTAAACTGATAGTTAATAAAGCATTACCAACGAGAAATTGGATATGCAATTGTTTTGTTTAGATAAAGTTATTTATAATAAGATTTATTCGTGAATTTTTGTGTGAAAAACCTGCGCTAGGAACATTCGTATAAGGATAACGTCTATTATGTTGGGCCAAGTCTGGTTTTAGTCAATATGTAGTTAAACCATAACAATGTCCCATTCATGTTATTTTGATTCTGTTTGTCTACATAAATACAAAATTAAAAAAAAAAGTTATATGACCTTACTCTAGACAGTTGTTGCATTTTAGCTTTCAGTTAATTTGGCCGTTCTGCATCACAACTGCCCTATACCTGCCTATTTCCATGTATGGCTGTAACGGATCGGACATTATTTTTGACTACTGCTATTCTGTCGCCCGTATCACAGTTTGTGTGACGACCATCAATTCTCGGTTTTTTTCTGTAAAAACTGAGTATTTCAATGTCACCCATGGTAAAAATTATCCGAATCTGGACGTCATCTGCAGATAGCATGAATTATCAATGTTCCTGTAACTATCCGTCAACAATCATAACATATCACAGCAACTGTGGAGGGATCTGTCTCCAACTGCAAGTGACATTAGTTTGTTGTATTTGTCATGAGGCATCATGTCTGGTATCACATACTATGTTAGTCTGGGTCCCTGCTGCGATTGCTCCGACGAGTATGCGCTATTCTTAGTCTAAGAATAGCGCAGACTCGTCGGAGCAATCGCAGCAGGGACCCAGAATAGGCCTAGATATCGTTCGCAACGCGCAGTTGAAAAGACGAAAATGCTGGCGAGTGTTATCTTTATGTAAGGCAGGTTGTTTAAGCAGCATTGACATTGAACGATATGCATACATTTCAGCAACGTTTACATACAACTGTTCATAAATAAGGATCTGGATCCCGATTTCGTTGATTTGTGGCCAAGCATGACGCATGTTGTCAGCGGCGATGACAAAAAGGAAGGTGCTTCAACGGTATGTATAACAGTGATTATGCAAAAACAAACAAAATGAATGGACTTTTTACACTCGTGAATAACAGCGTCACAAAGGTGCTCCCGACAAAATTTTCTAACTAGGCTCAGTTGCGAACTGATTTCACATTGTTTGTGAGGATATCTTTACTGTGCTTATATAGAGCAGGCGTTCTGACTTTCACAGTGCATATACAAACTTAAGGGTATTGTAGGCACACACATCTAGGATAGGTCGGGTTAGCCATAGGTGCCAGACACACCAATAAGTAATGTGTGATAGTTTGTACACATCATATTACTATTAGTGTGTCCAGTATCTGTGGGGTTAGCAGAAACACAATATTTGTTTTAATTGGCCTTATTTAATGATCATTACTAGGTCACACAGGATTCATTTATAACTTGAGAGATAGAATAATTCTTCGCAGAAAAAATGGAAATATGATAAAAAAAAACCTTTTCTGAGTTGTACAATTTTAAAGTATCTTCTGTCTGAAATCTGAACATCACTTGGTTTATGACAAAAGGTGTAAACCCCAAAAACTACAGTTAAAATCTTACAAGATACATAAATATTTATTTTATGTCAATTTTGCAATAAGCTACAAAGAGCTTGTATTTGAACAAAACATGAGTATAATAATAGAAACCAAAACATTTTAACATGAAAAAAATAAAAATAAACATACATGTACTATACTGTTAACAAAGAAAAAGAGTTTATCACTTGGAAAGCATTTTGCACATAATAGGCACATTGCACACGATAAGCACATCAGCACTTGGTAATTTAAGGACATTAAGCACATTTGGGTACAGCACATAAAAAACAAAACCATCACATGAAAAGCTTATTAGCTCATAGTAGGCACATTTGCACACTGTAACATCTCCATGTTTCCTGGTTAATTTTTTTTCTTTCTGGAAACAACAAGGGGAGAGTGTTATGACTGATAAGTCAACCGACTTAAAGTAATAAAGAACTTGAACTTGAACTTGAACTTGAGTGATGTACTGCTTCATCTTTTGTATTAATGAAAACCGTGAATATCTAGATGCGTGTGTTTAAATTGTCCTTTTTTTTTTACTGTGGTTCAAGAAAATATTTCCTTCTTTTTCCACAAGTGTACTGTTTCAACTTTATCAGGCTTTTTAATTCGAAGGCTAATATATAAAAAGAGAGATAATTTTGTTTTGTTTTTACTGATATCTTTTTATGTACTCATATTTTACTATCTAAGAAACCAGTTAAGGTGTCTTAAGCCCCCATGAGAGGTGGTGTTATAAGTTGATTTTTATGTACATTTTGTTTATATTTAGTTCTGCTATCAAAGATATTGACTTACAGAAATGTTTGTGAACCATTTTAATGAATTCCTAAGCTGTAATGCCTTATTTCTCACTGTACAATCTCATCATACTGCTATGCCTCCTATTTCTTTTGAATATTGTCTCTAAACATTATTATTGCTGGTGCAGAAATTATGTGGTGACTATATTCTATTTTAGGGGAAAAGCAATCAACATTACAACAGACATGGAGGGTTATTGATGGGAGGAAGGAGGATGAGAAATAAGAACTGAACCCCTTCTCTCACACCTTTGAGCACTTCATGAGCTTTTTCAAATGGCTGCAAGAACTGTGCCAACAGTGACTTGATATTTTTAAGTCTATCAGTTACTGTATATAGGAGGAACCTCTGACTAAATCATTTTCTCTCAGTCTCATGACAGCCGAGTCCACAGATCCTTCCAACAGCGAATAGTTCAAGAAGTCGGTAATCTTTACTTGGGAGTGGAACAGATTGAATCTGTGATTATTGATGCTGAAAGCCAGATGAATGTGATTAAACAGCCCCTACTGACTAAAAGCACTAATGTTGGAATCTACGTTTGTTTTGATCAATATAACACTATGGGTGCTGGGAGCAAATTTGAAAAACATTGAAAATATCTTTTTAAAAGATAGACATACTTGTCATGGGTTCCTACTAGTTTTTGTCCAGTGAATTAAAAGTCAACGCAAATGTTAAGCAGTAAAAGAAATGTAACATCCCTGGTATAAATTGTACTTTTATCATTGCTTATGCTCAATATCAATAAAGTCATAATGTGTAACTTGATATTTGTTAATTTCACTCGATTTTACCGTGTCCAACTTTTGATATCAAATCTTGTGTGATAAATGAGAGGAATTCCACACAAGATGTAATCTTGGCTATGTCAATGAAAGCAATTGTTTCTTAAGTTTTCAACTATATTTCTTGAAGGTTCATTTCTAAATTTCATACATCAATTGTTCAAGACAGTTTTAAGGTCAAGTTCATACATTCAAGGTGATGGCCTAAGGTACACAACCTGTACATGTGACAGGGTAATTGTCAGTGCTTTCTTAACTAAGTAATCAAACAAAATGTTAAAAACTTGCTCCATCATTCTGAACATCAAATCATGCACTACAAACAAATACACATGCAACCTCAACTTTCAATAAGTCTTGTCAACATTTTTTGCACAATGGTATCAAAACCAACAATAATGACAACTGTAATAATATAGTATGTGCTCTAGATGGTACATTTGCAGTACTCTTTTAAAATATATTTGAAATTGATATGTGCA